ACCAACAGGGTTATAACCCAGGACCTTCTGGTTACAAGGCTAGCAAGTCCTAGACCATTAAGCCACTCGGATCCAATCCAATGACCAAGCCATGAATTCTAACTTCTGCCAATTCATGACCTAGTGCGACCACTCCACAGTGTATTCTTCCAATCAATCAACCAATATCCCTACAAAACCAATACTTGAAAATTAAGTGTAAGGGATCAACATTGTTTCTTAAAAATAGGATGGGTTCTACAACGACTAATTTAAATGTTTCATTTGAGACATGTATCTATCTAAGCATGAATTATTACTCCCTCTCTCTTTCTTTTGACAATCATGTGCACTTAAACTGTTTTGGAATTGATAGGTTTGAGAAATAATCAAACTTCTAGTATTCGCTAACTGTCTATATCAGCTTTGGCGACAGTTTTACTTACCTTCATGAGAATGTCATTTTGGTAAATCCTTTTTGACCACTTAAAGTGACCATTCACAGCCTAACAGACGGTGAAGAGCGTAGGTGGTTGATGTTTCCCGATTCTCTAGCTTATTTACAGAAGTCCGCCTGATTATTCCAGCTAATAACTACCATGGACCGTGCATTTAATCTCAACTACTTCTGAAGTGCTTTTAGATTAAGTGTGATAACACATCTTGTGGTAATTTGCATAGCATGGTGATTTTATGAATGCTTGGATAAGTATTTCTAGATGAAGTCTTTTGGGTAGCCATTCTTGTAAGGCAGAATGCCTACTTTTTTCCTTAAATATTTTATGATTCTCTGGGTTTCCATTCGTCTGAATATTGTTTTATGCAGGCATTGTTTCGGTGACTGAGATTCTCAAAAAAAAGAAATGATGAAAACATCCAGCTCAGAAAATACAACAATACTGAAAATCTTATAATTTGTATTGTTATGGGTTTCTGTTTTCAAACTACCACCTTTTAAACTAATTCATCCATGCAAACTAGACCGTTTTCATGTTAAAGGTATCCTGTAGATAATAATATTTGTGAATGTTTTCCCAATCAACTGAAAATACACAGACAGTGAGAAACAAAGCTAGTCCTATTCAGTCTGAAAATTTATTTCCAGTGTAGCTAATAAAATCTGACATCTCATACTTGGTTTTGTTGTTTCCGGCAAAATATTACCCTGATTTCAGAGGAATTCAGCATCTCATCAATATCCAGTCTCAAGTTCTTAAAAAAAACTGTTAGTGAAGTGACACAGAGTTCACGGTTTTCACATATATTATAGATTGGTCCACCGAGGAAGAGGGCACTCGAGTGATTGCGCCACAGAATGATCCTGCATGCCGTTTTCGTCTCGCAAGAGGCAGGGCTGGGTGTGTTGGTTCACCTGAAAACCAATACCCAGTCAATGGGTGTATCACTATGTGAATTTTGTGCGTCGGTGGCACAGTGGTTAGGACTCTCGCCGACCATGCCCATGGTACGGGGTTCGATCCCCTGCCGACGCACACCCGATATCTGTGGTCGGCCTGCAAAATTTGGGCTACCGATATCCATGCTGAAAATTCCACACTTGTACTGAAAATACGGTGTGGCATCAAGCTTTAAAAAAAATTAAGATTATTACTAAGATACAGTGAACGAATACGTGCAAAAATACCTAGACGTGCATCAGTTTCTGTTGGTCGTATATTGGGTTTATTTAGTGTTTTTCATTCATGGAATTATGAAATACGGGTTTTTTTGAATTCATCCATGAGATACATGGATCATGGAGTGGATGAATTTAAGGCTCGAAGAATATCAAACTGTCTTCGTCTTCATGCTAAGCCGAAAAATGGAAGCTGACATTTTGAAACAAAATTCATATTCGCTAATTTTTCCATCAAATAATTTGCCAGTGTAAATGTGTTTTATCGAATCCTCATAGAAATTAGTCATTTGAAAGTGAAGCATACATTTGCTATTTCACCCGGTACATTGAAAACCCTGACATAAAATAGCCAGCGATACAGTTACTGACTTTTATGGGTAAATGGCCCCGGCTTAAATCTCAGTAGCGATTTCAGTTTCCTCGACTTTTATGACACTTTACGAGGCTTCTTGAAACAGGCGATAGAAAGAAAAACTTTGGCTTCCTGAGACTGGCTTCTACCTCCTAAAACTACTGTTTTTGTCGGGATTGGTCAATTTATAGTCTCACTTGTAATTGTTTTCTTCCTCAATGCAGAAACAAATGGTTTCCGATTAATTCACAGGCTCCTAAATGTCAGTAGGCATAAGATATCCTATAATCTTAAGTACTTTGTAGCTATTTTTACAACAAAGTGTGTTAGTATTTCGTTAGAATCTAAAAAGTAAACACCTGTTTTATAGCATAGTTTGAAGTGAATGAAGCGCACGTAGTCAACAATTAAAATACCGCTCAAGTATTTGAATGATACCCATAAATTAATCTATTATTAACATGTGTTTCTGCTTTATTTTTCTATTTACTTTACTCTCAACTTTGTATTGATTCACTTTTGATTTACAAAAACGAATTGCTTCACAAATTTTACTGAACAAGTTTACTTTAGAAAAACATTAGCTTTGACGAATGGTTTTCTTAGGAGATACTGCATTTCGCGTGCATTATATTAGGTCGCATCACTAGAAGTATAACTTGCAAGAGTAGTCGATGAAGGGTATATCATAGGTAATCCACTGGTGTATTCCACTAATTAAAATTACTAAGACAGTGTTTTTAGGCAGATAGAAAATTATAATCATTTTGTACTCAGATATTTCTTTGGATGTATTAAAACAAAAAGAGAAATAAACTTTTCGAACTGCTACTACGATCTATTTCAGTTCTGTCTTTAAATATAATCTATTTCACCAGCTGTATTGATGATTTTCTTTAGGTCCTTGCCATCGTACTGTCTTGTTACCCTCTCGCATACTTTCTGATATATTGAAAGAGCATATGATGTTCATGTTACCAATGGAACATGGAGCTTCGTACTAGAGGCTTGAAGTTTCGGTAGCAGTAGCGTTTATCTTTACGGGATAGGGTTGCTAGCCTTATACTCCACCTTCCCTCTTTACCAGTCTAATAATTGGCTTAGCGAGGTAAAAGAGTGCGTCGGCCGGGATCGAACCCCATGACACATGTCTGATTGGCGAGTAATCTACCGCTGTGCCACCCGCACACGTAAAATGCACAAAAATGATTAGGAACAGCATGCAAGTGGTTTACCGTAGACAATGTCAACCTATCAGTTTGATACAAGTCTCTTTCGTGTTTTTGAAACTAAACACATTTCGAGTTAAATTTCCGCATACACCGGTAACATCGGATTAATAATTTCCTAAGCATGTCCAGCCCATATTTACCTATCTATAAATAATATCATCTGTCAAAAAGCTTCAATTACGATCGAAGAATTTAACTGCCAGTGTTTGTTCAACGAAATTCAGGTTGAACAAAGATTAAGGAAGTATTGATGAATTCCTTTGCTTTGATAATTCACTAACCACATGGCATTACTCATTTCTTTGTTAAAGAATATTTTCCGGCACTAATTTCTTTAACAAATAGCTTTAATTAACATTCTCTTGTAAGTCAAGACACCTCCTTTTAAATTGTACAGTAAGACAAAATTACCGGCCAGAAACTAATTCCCCAAGGAATAAAATATTTATAGAAGTAAAATACGTCATTATTGTAAGGCATCATACAGAGAATAAGATGTTTTGAATGAAAAGTTAGACTTCAAAAATATTCTCAATAAATGGCAGAGTTAATCAGCAACTTGTTTTGTCCTATTCATAAATCACGGAGTTGTTTTGCAAACTTTTCTGTCCATTAGAAAATATTGTTATAATGTGGTTATCATGGGGTCCCTTTAGATTAAATTATCAGTTATTAAGTCTATATAAAGAGTTTCCCGGAGATTTATAAAAGCTATACAACATTTTAGTTAAACAAACTCAAAACAGCATGCCTATATTCATTCACATTCTAAAGAGATATCATTTATTTGCATGTAACAATTGCTACATGCTCTGAAAGTGAAATGGATGGTTTCGCCAATATCACTCTCAATAAGGTTTAGCGTTATACTGTTCAAAATGCTGCTCATTTACCAAGAGTGATTCTGTAAAATTACTGTTAACAATCTGTGCAGTACATTTCCTTGGTAAAATCCTATCCCATAGTTTACTCTGCTGATTCTTTGAACAAGGAAACAAGTGACCTTACGTAATGATGTTCTGCACAACTTCACTACCATGATTATTTGAAAAAATTGTAGAAAACTGGTTTATATGGCCCTTTGAACTGAGTATAATTACCAAAAGTCACAGTTTGCAAAACTAACATATCAAGTATTAGTTTTATACGACCTATTTAATACACTAGCCGGTCATATTTTTGAGTTCTAAATCTCTGTTACACTTTGTAGAAAACCACATACTTTTTGAGTGTTTGAGATGAGTATTTGTATACCACTCACACCAGCCGGTAGTATTTACTAGCCAGATCGAATTGATCTAAATGCTGGGTGACTGTTTCGACCATTTCGCTCCAAGCTCATCAAAAGTGTAGCCGGTTTGACTCAGTTCATAGAGCCGAATAAGTTCAAAATACACGATTTCTGACTAGTTGATTGGACGAACTGGCAAACTGGCCATAAATTGAATTGACAATTCATAAATTAATTTACAATTTATACAGTTCGAGGTGAAAACTTCACTATAGATTCATTGGAAACCGAGATTTTCTAGATCACAAGATGTGAAATGCTTGATACCGTTAGTCGTCATCAAGAAATCACGTGTAAATGTGGGAAACTCTATACTACTATATGTTCTAATCTGTTACTGTCTCCTTGATTATTATTTCTCTACAGCTGCAACAGGAATAAAGGTTTTCTTACGTTTCTTTTAAATTTTAGTTTTTGAGGATTGGAACAAAATGAATGTTTGGTATCAAGTGGTTTCATGATTAATTTTCGATAAGAAAGTTTAAAGAACAATCAACGAAGGATAAAATGGATTGGAATAAAAAACGTGTAAACTTGAATGATCCTACAGAGTTTGAATCACTCATAACCATTGAACCAATGGAAGTGAGTCAAGTCAAACAAGAGCCATTAGATTTAAGCTTCGAGGAGTATGAGGTAAGTATTACCGTTGTGTTAACGCTACACATAGAAACACTTGCACCTTGTTTTTTAAACTGTGTTAAATGATTAAAGACGAAACATATCAGTAACCAGTAGATTAGCAATCACAACAATTTGTGCATTAGGCAGCAAGCAGTATCTAATGCTGTAGAGGCAGACACTGTTAGAAGTAGCAGGGTTTATGCATGTAGCCCACTTACTGAAAGTTGGATGCCTAGGCCAAGGATCTAATCATTTATACTTGTGTAACCATGCATAACAGTGTTATGATATGAAGCTATTTCTGTGCAGTCTAAAAGTCTTCAGATGTACATATATGAAACTAAAAGGTAATAAAAATTTCATGTTATGTTGGCCGTTGCTCTAGGAACTTGATTTTTCTTGCTCGAGAGCATATCCCACTATGGCTAAGTAAAGGTGTAGTTAAAACTATTAAAAGCTCGATATTAGACCATCTGGTGCAAACCGGTCACAAAGCCAGCGTAGACGAATCCTTCTCCATAATATACCAGGTGCCTAACAAACTACCAAAATCGTCGAAGCACCGCTTGCTCCAAACAGCAGAGGCTATTGCAATTCACCTCAAAAAACCAGTGTTCTGTGTCCAAAAGAAACAAGTCCAGTCCCTAATACTGCCCTGGCCCTCAGTAGAGACTATAAACTCATGAATTTGTACCATTACCTTTCCTAATTCTTCTGACATTCAGTTTATTTTATGTTGATGCTGTTCAGCTGTAATTTATCAATATTATTGATTTGATGTTATTTAAACATTAATGTCGTTCATAAGACTAATTCATTCATTATAATGTATATATAATTGTAGAGCCTGATGATGAATTTATCGAAAAGAGTTCTCTTTGTTCCTTGTCTATTCTTTTGAAAATTTCGTGTTTGCCAGCAGTTATCTAGAAGCTATTCGTTCAGAGTCAAGATCGTTGACACATATGCGGCAGACAAGTTTACATGATGGTAATTTATCTGGAAGAATAACTAACTACACCTTCATGTATTACGCATTGTTGTCTGACTGGAGTTACTCTACTTATCCAAATCTTCAAAATCAGTAATACAAATATTCATAATATGGTTAACTAGTCCAAAATTTGCTTCTCACGTACTTTAGACACAACCGGATTGTTTTTATTAGGAGGGTAGAGATTACTCTATTATGATAAGAGGCCAGTTATTTCAGTCTTAACGCGTGGAAACGGTGGAGGCATTCTTTCAAATAACTTGCCAAAATTCAACGAGTGAAGCACATTTCAAAATTTTATTCCAACAATATCAAAATACAATCTGATGGCATAGAATATGCTCTGCTATTAAACAGTAAATAATAGATTAAACTGAAAATACAAAACCACCTCAATAATGCCATCGAGCACCTCTAAAAGATTCTAAGGTACAAAAAGGATATTGTGCAACAAAACGTTTTGATCGAACACAACTTCAGATTATCTGGGAATCAATAAGAATATTCCCAATGAGATTGGATCAAAGCTGTGTCCGCGAAATTCAAGCAGATCAAACACTTTTCCTGCAGACAGTTGAAGATCAAACTGCAACTCTACGAAGTGATTTTGACTCCACACAGGAGCAAAAAGAGAACTACTGAAGGCAGGAATCAACGAAAGCCAAGGACAATTACCAAGGATTAAGTCAAAGGGTGATACGCGAATGTTAGAAGAATGATTTACCAGTCAAGGGGAAATTGTAGCGAAAACGCTGTTAATTTCCACTTGCTAGATATAAACTTGGAGAGGAGATCGGATGGGAAACTCAAGAGACTGATATGTTGTGAAGACAGATGGAGTGGTTTCTACTTATACTTCAACAGCTTCTGCCCAGTCAGTTACAGAACGCTGGCGAAAACGCTTTCTTCAGAGTGAAAAGAATATGTTCACCTGATGAATTAAACAGTGAACTAATGCTGCTTGAGAATTGCTTGAAAGAAAACCTTTATCTACAAAGTTTCGTTGACAGATATGATAAGAATGAACGTAATAAACCTGCTGAACCTACGGTCAGCAAGAAGCCAGTTTTCGTCAAACTTGACTTCAAAGGCGATGATACTATGAGAATTATAAATAAAAGATTAAGCGCAGCCCTGTCCAGGACGTATCCTGTAGCGAAACTAGTTTCTCTGCTCCGAACATCTTCCCCGTTGGTGCAGTCAAAGATCGGTAAATACTCCTCATATGTTACCTCCAACTATATATGCCAATTCACATGTATCTGAGGAAGCAGTTCCATTGGAAGAACAGAAAGAATGACCTACTTCACATTCTTTGAACATGTACCAAGTAATTTAAGCTCTTCAATTACCAAACACTTAATAGACACTGGACACCAAGTAGACGCGCATCATTCAAAGTAATTAAAAGGCAAAATAGCTTAAGTCTTCTTCTGTTTGCTGAGGTTATATCAGCAAAATGGCTGAAACCTGACCTATATGTCCAAAAGGGATCTGTCGTTGGACTTTAGTTACCGTGGTGACTTACTAACTTCATTAATTTCTCTTTCCAACTCCCTCTCACCTCCTTTCTTCTGCTTGACTTACAAAAGAGATAATTTTTCTTGACCTTATGAGTTCTACTCACCGTATTACATCATCACCTTCTTATCTGACACCTTACACACCAAATTTGGATCTTCTCTTATCTAACTATGTAACTGTTACTAATTTTTGTTACTACTCAGACAAGAAACTTGTCAACTTATTTTCTAGAAACTCCTCTCTAACAATATGTATATATATATATACTTACACTTCAGCTACCTTGTCATGCCGATGTTTTACCTCTCTAAGACACTCTTATAATATGCTTGTTGATGACAAGAGTATGCTAAAATTTTACGCTGACTTTCATTTATTAAAGACTATAGGTTGTTTGCAGCTGACGAGAACCAACGAAATAAAATGAATCCTTGTTATTCTGCACCAATGTTTGTTTTTTCTGTGCCCAATTAAAAAAATTAGTTGAAATACTCCAATAAGTATCAGTATTATAAATAAATTATTCATACAGGGATTCTCAGATTAATTATTCTGCTACATGTTCCCTTTTATTACTTTTATCGTAAAACGAAGGAACCTGAAAGAAACTACCTTCTTTACCTACTTGGGAAGCATTGTTTCAACTACAGGCGGAACTGACGAGGATATCAAAGCAAGAATCGGGAAAGCAAGACAAGCTTTCATTACTCTCAAGTCTGTGTGGAGGTCAACAGTATTTAGCGTCAAAAATAAGATCGGGATTTTCAACTCCAATGTGAAGTCAGTACTACTATACGGATCAGAGACTTGGCGTATCACAAAGAGCACCTCAAACAAGCTACAGACCTTCATTAACAGATGTCTTCTCTTAATACTCAAGATCAGATGGCCAGAAAAGATCAGCTACAGGAGTGGATCTCTGGGAGCGAACCAACACAGCAGGAACCGATTGTGAAACAAATAGGCAGGAAGAAATGGAGATGGATTGGCTGGCCATACTCTCAGGAAACCATCAAGTGACATCACTAGACAAGCCCTCGAGTGGAACCCGAAAGGGAAGCGACGAGTTGGTCGTCCAATGGTGACCTGGAGGAGATCATGTGAAGAGGAGATGAAAGCATGTGGGCAGACCTGGAGCCAGGTGAAAACTCTAGCAGAGAACCGAACGCAATGGAGACTTGTGGCTGAAGCCCTATGTTCCTCTAGGAACAAAAGGAAATAATAATAATCGTAAAACGATATCCATGAAGAATTGTATTTCATACAAATTTGAATCTAAGACGAAATTTCGTTTGTTTTTCGAGAAATAAAGTGCAGATAAGGTGGATCTACCTTCACCAGTGATGCCTTAATTAAACAATGACTTGTATTTTACAATTCTTTTATCGTTGCGCAGCTCAGACGGTCCTTCTGCTTTGAGATAATCGTGATTTACTCTGAATATCTTCCTGATTAATACCATAAACTGCGACAGACAGCGGGCAGTGAGGAAACAGGCAATAAATGGACCTACACAAAAACTTGGGGGATATGGACTTCGCCGATAATGTGTGTCTGATTTCCCACAAACTGGGAGATATGCAAGTGAAAAGCAACAAGTCGGCAGAAGAAGCATCCAGGGAAGATAGGAATTCAGGTGAACACAGAGAAAACAGAGGTGATGAAGATTCCTGGCTAACAGCAACAGCAACAACAGACAACAATCAGCATAAATAGGAGAAATCTGAAAGAAGCAACCTCCTTTACCTAACTACCAGGTAAGCATTGTTTCAACTACAGGCGGACAGCACTGGAGGGGACATCAAAGCGAACATCGGGAAAGCAAGGCAAGCTTTCATCACTCTCAAGTCTGTGTGGAGATCAACATCATTCCTCAGCATGATGTGAAGTCAGTACTACTTTATGGATGAGACATATTGCATCATGAAGAGCACTTCGAACAAACTACGAAACCTTCATCAAGAGCTGTCCTCGCTCAGTACTCAAAATCAGGTGACCAGAGGAGATCAGCAACAGGGAGGGATCTCTGGCAATGAGCGAACCAACCCAGTAGCAACCAATTGTGCAGCAAATATGCAGGTAGAAATGGAGGTGGATTGGCCATACTCTGAGAAAACAAACCATCAAGTGACATCACACGCCTGGTCATCGCTCGAGTGGAACTCGAATGGGAAGTGGTGAGTTGTTTGTCAGTACGACAGTGACATGAAGGAGGTTATATGAAGAGGAGATGAAAGCATGTGGGCAGACGTGAAGCCAGGTTAAAACGTTGATAGAGAATCGGATGAAGTGGAGATGTGAGGCTGAATCCCTATGTTCCTCTATGAACTAAAGGAAACAATAATAATCGTACCATATGTGTACAGCAAAACCCATGAGTTTGAAGTACAACAAAGAAAAATATTCCTTGATTTTCCACCAAAAACACTGAAGACACACCCTTATCTGTTTGAATGTAAAAAGACATTTCTCATAAATAATTAACTGTGACCATTGGTTATACACTTTGACACCATTTTTTACCGTTTTATTTTTCTTTTATTACCCAAAAACCAGATTTCGCGGAAACCTAGTTCAATTCATATTTCACAGAATGAACCACGTGGAGTGTTGAAAAAGAAACCTCGTTTTGCTGATCCAATTATTATCGAAGAAGAGGATATTGTTCCCAGCAATAATATAGATTGTCTACTAAATGAGGACGAATTGATTGAACAGGTAATGTTAATTATATGAAATGGTATCTACCCAGCACCTGTTTTTGAGATAGATTCTTGTTGGATTTTGATTTAAAACACTGACAGATCCTTAGAGACTTGGAACAGTTTGTTTACATTTTTTTCAGGTCACTGTTTTGTGGTGTGCAGCCTTTCTTTCACAAAAGGTTGGATGTAGAAATTCCTCATGAACATATAATAGAATAATCAGTCACCAGATTTCCACTTTCTGCAACTGTTCGACACAGTTCATAGATATTACCTACTTTCGTTTGAAACAAAATACGTTTTCTCTGAATGATTCTCATTCATCCAGTAGGGTGCAACAGGTCGGGTGTAAGGACAAATACTCGCCGAAGACATTGGCTAGCGGTTGCGCTATATCGTGAATTGGCAGAAGTTAGAATTCACGGGTTGGTCACTGGATCCGGCCCCAGTGGCTTAATGGTATACGAGCTCGCTAGCCTTGTAACCAGAAGGTCCTGGGTTCTAACCCCTGTTGTGGGTGCGTGCTGATGAAGAGTCCCAAACTAGGACGAAACAGCTGTCCAGTACTCCCGGTTGATCTTCGAATTGTTCTCTAACCAATGTCAGCTCATGATGAAATTCTGTAAGTAATCAACCAAATCCCTACAAACCAATACTTGATTCTCATTTTATTCAACACGAAACGTTAGAAGAAGAATACTGGGTACAGGAATATTTGACTGCAATTTGGTATCTTATCTTCAACGCACTATTTGCAGAGATCTTCGTGTTTTATGACTTCTGGACTTTATATTGTGTTTCCTTGTGCTCCTCACACTTCTCCAATGTACCTCTACAACTCTGTATCATTTACCTTCTCTGACATCAAATGTATCACCCTGCTATTTGATGTTTTTATGCCGATGAACGTCTCCTTTTATACTACTCATAAGTCTTATCAGTAGCACACGTCACAATAGTGGTAAGAAAACACCAGGAGTGTTTCCAAACCGACCAGGATTATTTTAAATAACTTGACTCTAAAGCCACCTCAAGAAATTCCCAATATCTATGGTCCGAAAATTTTTACTCATATTATAGACTGATAGATTCATTTGATTTAATTACTATCTCGTACACTTGTCTTGTAGATGGATAGCATTTCGGTTGAAGATCCATCCGACAAACCTGGTGGTTCTGAAAATGAAATTGTGTAAGTTTTTATTCATTGTATTATCATTCATTCATTTGTTAAATATATGGAAAATAAAAAGTAGATATAAAGCGTCTAGTCATAAATTGCACCTCTACAATGAATGCATAGATTTCTTCACGTATTGTGACACATTTCTTTCTTGCAACAGATAAGGTGTTTATTATTAACTAACAGCTAATTGAGCTTATCAATATGAACGAATTTTAATGTAACACAAACTAATTCATAGAGAGAGATATTCGATTATTACTATATTGTATAAAGGTTACCCGACAATAGTGACTACGCTCATATACCTCATGTTCACAGTCAAGAACATAGTGAAACGGTAGAAGACGAAGTCTTGGTAAAGGAATGTTTATTTGGAAATTTGTATCTCTATATAGCTCAATTATGTATACCTTATTATCAACGCACCGTTTGCACAGATCTACGTGTTGTGGTACTTCTGGACTTCCTTCATATTGTGTTTCTTTGTGTTCCTTTCACTTCTGCAATTTATCTCCACAACTCTGTATCATTTGCCTTCTCTGACATCAAATGTATCTCCCTGCCATTTTGATGTTTTTATGTCTCTTTATATACTACTGATAAATCTTATCAGTAGCACTCGCCACAACAGGACCTGATTTGCATATTTTTTTAATTCTTCATAGTAACAGAAATCTAATTATTGGATGTCTGACTAGCCTGACACTGCCTAATTTCATCTTTGACTGTCTGTTTTGAATAAACGTTGATGTAAAAGTCATAGTAAAAGAGGAGATTAAAAAAGAAGTCATTCGAAGTTATTTGCATTTCTTCAAGAGGTCTAAAGGGTAACGTTCATTGGTACACTAAAGAGAAACCGCATTAGCTTCTCACTTTTTAGCTGTTCAGCCAGTACTCTCTAACAAGTCTGTTACAAAAATGACAAAAGGTTTTTTCACCGTTACAATCTATAATCACTTGATATTAAATAGACTGAAGAGATATGCAAAATACCACTGATAGTTTTACGCTCAAATTTCTATGGAATACTCACAACTTACGACTTATCCAGTCCACAGAAACTGTCAGTGAGTTACTCATCTATTCACAGATGTAATGGTACGTATGACAACTTGTTTGAAATACTGTCATAAAATAAACTCATGGAAAGGCATTCTAGCTCTGCCCATCTTGAAAATGCTTCCTGCCTTCATTTACGCTTAAGTGTTTCCATTAATAATCCTGTATTGTACTTTACAGAGATATCGTTTTACGTAGCATTTAGTGACAGGCGAATATATAGGTTATCACCAAAACAAATTTACTCCCCTTTCGTTTCTGATAAAGCGGATGCGGTCGGTTACAATCTGGATATCCTGAGATAGTTGGTTTTACGTGACTTTCTATTACCGGTTTAAAGAAATGAAGTATTCACATCAAATGTTACGTTTGGCTGTCTTAAATGTATTAAATCAATTTTAACGCAACTGAAATATTTGTAGTAACCCCAGAAAAAGAGGAAAGGTTGGAGGTGAATCTAGTAACCCCATCTGTAAAAAGGAATAACACCACTGTTTCTGAAAACTCAAAGCCCAGACGTTGAGTCTCTGTGTTCCACTAGGAACTCAAAGGAATGAAATTTAAAAAAAACACAACTATAAATCAACTTTTTAGGCAGCTAAAGTGTTGGTTGTTGGGTTTGATAAATTCTGCACGAAAACACCTTACGATTGTCGATAACATCACTCATTAATGACATTTGACATCGTGCAATTTTCCATTAATATTAATTGCATTAAATGATCACCACAACGTGAGGAAAAACTATAATTTCTCAAAATCTTAGACAGATTGCTTTGTGGATTTCCAAATACAATTCTGAAACTTACGGCGTAATTCACAGAACTTTCTAATTTCTGTTTGTTCTATAGAATTGTAATGATCAGCTTTTTCTGATAGATAAATACATTTCAACGGTTATCTCAACGTCATTGCTATTATTTTGTTGTTTCTTTACGGTGCCTCATAAGAAATCTATCACATTTGTGTCAGTTCCCCTGAATATGTAGGTGCACGAGCATTTCAGAGAGATGACAGTATCACCCCGTAAGCGTAAATTAGACTTCATCTTCACTTCAGTTCATATTGGCTACATTACCATCTTTTCAACACATTATTATTTTATTATTCCCTTGCGTTCCAAGTGGAACATAGGACTTCAACAACACATCTCCACTTTGTTCTGTTTTCTGCCATCCTCTTCATTTGGGTCCACGATTGACCAAACTCTCTCGTCTCTTCCTCACACGATCTCCTCCAAGTCACCCTCGCACCGACGATCCACTCGTCGCTTCCCATTAGGAGTGCGATGTCATTCGGTGGCCTCCTCAATGTATTCTCGATCCATCTCCCCTTTCTCCTACATATTTGTTCAGCGATCGGCTCTCGCCTGTTGGTTTGTTCCCATAGTTTCTTTTTGCTTATTCTTTCTGGCCATTTGATCTTCAGTATGAAGCAAAGACAGCTATTGATGAAAGTCTGCAACCTGTTGGAAATCTTTTTTGTGACACGCTGGCCAATTTTCTGACCTGTATAGAAGAACGGACTTGATATGGGTGTTGAAAATCCGAATCTTGTTCTTAGTGCTGAGTGCGGAAGATTTCCAAACTGGTTTCAGGTTGATGAAGGCGTATCTTGCCTTTCCGATTCTGGCTGGCGCCGAAATCTTCATCCGTTCCGTCTGCCTGTAGTTGAAACGATGCTTCCCAGTTAAGTGAAGGAGGCAACCTCTGTTAAATCTCTCCCGTTGATGGTGATTGGTGCTGGTTGTTGTTACTGTTGATTGGTTATCTTCATCACCTCCTTCTTCTCTATGCTCACCTGGAGTCCTGTCTTGGCTGCCTGCCTCTTCTGCCAGTTTTTTCGCTTGCAAGTCTTCGAGTTTGTGTGACATTAGACACATATCATCCACGCACAAAATCCAGATCTTCTAGAGTCTTCTTATCGGTCGTCCAGCGTATTCTTGACTCTTCGCCCCCAACAGTCTGACGCATAATCCAGTTCACCACAATTAGAAATATCATCGGTGATAATATGCAGCCTTGTCTTACTCAACATACATACTCATATTTAACTTATGTGCAAATTCCACAATCTAAACTTCATTGTCCAGCTCACTGATGACTACTAGATGGCTGTCCTAAAGTGATAGTGAGAAGTAATGACATTGGAGTCCATCATACCAGGATGAAATGGGTGCTTGCCGAAGGCACTGGTAAGGGCAGCACTAAATCACGAGCGTCGGTGGTACAGCGGTTATGACTCTAACCGACCATTTAAATGTTCCGGGTTCGATCCTCGGCCGACGCACACCTGATATCAATGGTCGGCCTGCAAAATTTAGGCTACCGATATCACAGCTGAAAATTCCATACTTGTACCAAAATACTGTGTGGAATCAAGCTATAATAAAATTTAAAAAATAAAAATAAAACTTATTGATGAATTTGGGTCCCAGTGGCTCGCCTTGTAACCAGAAGGTCCTGGGTTCAAACCTCGGTGGATGCGTACTGATGAAGAGTCCCAGAACTAAGACGAAACAGCTGTCCAGTACTCCCAGGTTTTGTGGTGTCGGTGGCATAGCGGTTAGGACGTTCGCCGACCATGCACATGGTCCAGGGTCCGATCCCCGGCCGATGCACTCCTTTACCTCGCTAAGCCAGAAATAATGCTCGTGAAGAGGAAAGTTTGGGCATGAGGCTAGCAACCCAATCCTGTAAAATAAGCAGTGTTACAGAAACTTCAAGCCTCCAGCTTGAAGCCCTATGTTCCACTGGGGAACGTGAAAAAAAATCACGAGTTGACAAAGTTAGAATCCACGGGCTAGTGAATTTCAGCCCAGGTGGTTGAATGGTCAACAAGCTTGGTCTGGTAACCTGAAGGTCGAGGGTTAGATTCCTGGTTGATTTGTCGTTGCACACTGATGAAGAGAGTCAAACTAGGACGAAACAACTGGCTATTGCTCTTTGGTTTATCATGAAAAAATCAAATAATTGCAATTAAATATATATATATTAATATTTTCAAGTTTTCTAGTCTTGCATCCACCATCTACCTAGGGATGGCAGAAAAACGTTAACAAGTTTATTGTTGTTCATCATGAAAATTGAAAGAAGACTTTATTTCCACCTGAATAATGTCATTCAGTATGAAACTGTAATGTCACTTGTTTACTTCATGCTTGTTTTAATCTCTTATTTTTTTAAATTTCTTCTGTCAATTTAATTTTACTCTTACCAAACTTGTTTAATCTGCTTCATAAGTCATAATGCATGCAATGTTGATCATAGTTTACAGATAAGAAATGATAAATGAAAGGTCAAACAATTTTGAAATTCACTCCTTTCCCTCGGTCTCTCATAAACTATTTATGGCCTGATATATTTAGAATAAAAGTGAAAGACAATAAAAATTTTGTGCTGATTAATTTTTTGTGACATTTTAATAAATTTTTCTTAGTTTTACATTAAAAAGCTTAGTCATTCTGATGTTTTATTAGGCTATCGTAGTTGACTGTGTAAGCCTCCTTCATTTCCTCAAACATATTTACAATTATTGACGTTAGGATTATTTAGAATATGGTGTGTTTTGAATGCGTGTACACACCAGTATTCATAATTAATTAAAATGTCTTATGTATACTGATTTTTCAAAGGCAGTTACGGTGATAAGGGTGGACTAACAGTTATTCAGGTATTCGGCTTACGGTAGTCTGCCTAAATCATTTGGCTACCTAATTTTCCAAACAGCATAATGAGTCAAATTTAACCAGTTATACTTTGTTCAAACCACCTGTTCACGTCCTTGAAAAACAGTCCTTGCTGACGTGCATTCTTAAATGGCTTTCACCATACCACTAAGTTTATTTTGAAGAGATAAATGCGTCGGGGATTGGAGCATGTTTCAGGTAGAACGAAACTGAGTAGAATGATATACTGTAGACTACTGTTTTACTTGAAGACTGTGTA